TCTCATCTCATCTCAACTTGGCTTTGTGTGAAGCTACTCGATCTGTGTGTTGACATTTGTGCATGCGAAATGATACACTCCAGCAAGCGTGAACAATCAGGTTCCTTGCAATTTGGTATCGGAGCATGACTCGTTGCGCTCGCTGATGCGCTGGCATGAGTAAGGCCAGCGAGGAAGAGATGCTGGCTTGAAGATGCTGGCTATGGTGGTGGTGTAAGGAGAGAGGTGGATTGGGATAGGGGAGAGAAGTAGGCCGAAGAGGAAGGGGCTAAGGAGAAGTACTTACATCGCGTGGAGCTTTGGAGTGTGGAGCGACGAGGAGACTTCATCAACGACAACTGCAAACGAGAGAAGAATCCCTCATCCCCTTACATGGCTGCATGTGTGTGTGTGTTGTACCTCTACCTCTCCTCTCTGGTGGTCGCTGCTGTTGCTGTCAGGTCGAGTCACCTGGTGTACAGCCTGGTTGATTAGGATCGACGGGTCTAGTCACGTGAGAGTTAAGAGTGGTTGGAGTCCTTGTTCGATTTTATCTTCTTCCCTCTGGTCTGACATCTGCGTTGTAGTAAAGATAGGAGTACGCTGGGGGGTTGTGGCAGTCTGCCACGTCAGTTTGCAAACAAGGTATAAGGCACAATCAAACTGGGCAGAGATAATCTGTGATCGGAAGTGTTGTCCAGGCATCCGATAGTAAACACTCTAATTTCTCCCTGCGCATGAGAACAGACAAACAGGGTTAGTAAAAAAAAAAGGAAAAAAGTCATAACCAGTTAGAACAAATCTAGGCAGACTTCTGACTAAGATCAAGTGTAGTATCTATTCTGATCAATTTAATATCTGAAGTTGAAGATAGCCAGCAAGTTCAGCAACTAAAAAAAAAAAAAAGTCTTATTGAATATTAAAGTTTTGAAAGTTCTGAAATTCGTTACTGTTGAAGAAGCGACATCCAGAGTCTGAAAAAAAAAAAAAAAGAGTAAAATCATCATCCCATCCACGAGATTAAACCAGGGTTAATTGGAGGGAGTCTTACCTGGTAGGACCAGCGGAGGGTTACCTGTGCTAAGTTCCCTATGCAAGGGTTGTTGGTCCTTTCTGTTCTGATGGGCCCCATATTCAGAGTTTTCTTTCCCCCGGGCTTCAGAAGAGTATGTACCTCCCGTATGATGACCAGATCAAGTGTTGTGAAGCCTGGGCTATCGGCTGCAGAGCAGGGTGAAGTAGATCGCTGCCTGGCCGAAAAGAAGAAAGAAAATGAAGTGAGGAAAAAACAGAAGGAAGAAGAGATAAAGAAGAAAGTGCAAATGAAAGAAGAAAGAATGAAGAAAGAAATGAAAGAAAAACTAGAGAAGGAGTTGAAAGAAGAACTGCAGACCATAGAAGAAGAAGAAGAGACTGATGAGGGAGGTGAAAGACTCATCAGACGGCGCGCAGAAAGGGAAGAGAGTAGTCAAGTAGGTGGTGAACTTGATGTCAAACCGCTGGACTGGTACGACCAGTATGCACACTCCAGCGATAGGCTTAAGGAAATGCAGGAAGAAAGGGACGTTTTCGTTGCGAGACTAACAACTATTACAGACCAGAAAGAAAGGGACCTTATGCTTGCGAAAAAATGTGCAGAGCTGCATAGTAAAATGTTAGCAACAAAGCGGCAAGAACTTGATGAGAGGAAAAGGTTGCAAGCAGAGGGTGCAAGATTGCAAAGAGAGTTGCAAGAGAAAAAAGACAAACAGACTGCAACCGAAGAAAAGCTTGCTCTTTTGACAGAAACCGTCCCTCATACCAAGCAAGAGGTAGCAACAATAAACCGAACCTTGCAAAAAGTGAAAACGCACCAATACGAGTTTGAAGGGATCTGGAATACCTTTTCGTAAAAATCCGCCAAAGATGTGGATCTGCACATACAATCGTATATTGAAAAATTAGATAAACACATCACCCAGACCTTTACTTCCGCCGTGATTGATAAGATAGTCCGAGGTAGCGGTGGAGGAGGAGGAGATGGAGATGGAAACGGAGATGGGGGAGATGATAGGAAAGGAAAGGGAGTGCAGGGGGAAGATAGAAACACTGATGTAAGGAAAATAAAGGTTAAAGTGTCATGGACCTACACTGGCAAGAAGGAGGAGAGTGTCCTTCATTGGATTGCCGCCATAGAATCATACGTATACGGTCAGCGCATACCTTATTGGGATAGAGTTTTGATGGCCACTTCATGCATGGCTGGCGAGGCGATGAGCTTCGCCATATCGTTGCAAAAGGAAGCTAACTGCGATACTATGATTGCATATTCACAGCAAACTAGAATTGAAAACTTCTTTAAAACTGTTTGAGAACAATTTGAAGACAAGAATCTAGCTCGCCGAACAGAAATGCTAATTTTAAATATCGCAGATCGGAAATGGAAGAGTGCATCTGCACTCAAGGCAACGATTGGTGAACTCTTGCAATGCGCAGAACATGGGCTAACTCCTACCCAAATCCTCAACAACTTCGCAAGGGCACTTCCTGACCCTCTCCGTACTCAGCTTTATCCCTGCACAAAGGAAGAGGGGGTGGCGTACGAGAAGTTCAGCAAGATCGCTATAGATTATGTTGGCTTCCTAGCCAAAGCTAATTACTGCCATTATTGGAAAGATCTGCAAGCGGGAAAGAAGTGGCAGAATCACACAATCTTAGGGAACATACCTGGGAAAGACAACCTCCTTTTGACCTTTGAAGAAGGAGGTGTTGAAACTCTTTCCTATGACCAAATAAATTATGGTCTAGATGGAGGACCCAACGACACGGTAGTTCAGGAGGGGGACTACGCGGCTGTTGCAGCCCGCGTGGGAGGGCGACAAGGAAGAGGCCATGGCCGAGGAAGAGGAGGTCGCTGGCGCGGTGGAAGAGGACCCGGTACCCAGAGGGGTGGTGGCGAAGGAAGCTACTACGTGGGTGGAAGGGGCAATGGTCCCTCGCAAGGTGGCCATGGTTTCAATTCTACTTGGTGAAGAGGAAGAGGCACTTGGTATGGTAACTGGGATAGGCCATATCCACCCCATCCAGGTTTGCCCGAAGGGGAGCCCTGGAAGAAATTGGGGACAACAGAAAAAGTCTGGCAAGAAAGAAAAGTCGTCGGACAGTGCCTTAAGTGTGGTGACCCCGACCACATAGTTCCTTACTGTCCGGATTATAAGGTAGTAAAAGGAAACAACCAGTAGAGGTTCAGTTGCCTCTACCGGAACTTCGGATGTAAACAGAAAGACATCCTCCCATTCGAAGGTTCCTCAGGCAGAAACTGGAAAGATAGACAGTCCCCACCTAGTACACTGTCCAGAGGTAGTAAGTGTGTGCACCTCTCTAGGTGGATCCCTCGCAGGTATGGGTGATGAGTTGACCGCTCGTTGCCAAGCCTGGACTGAGATGAAGAAATGTAAAGGACAATTAATAATTGCAGATCTCGAAGTGAATAAAGTAAGAGTTGGATGAATGATAGTGGATCAACTCGCAGCTATATAAGCAAGAAAGGGTTGAAGAAGTTGCGTCTTGGGCTAAAGGTTAAACAGTTAGATGAACCCGTAATGAGTAAACTAGCTAATAGTAATATAACTGTAATGGATAGATATGTTAAAGGGGTCAAGATATACTTCCGGCTCGAAGCGGAGGGGAAGGTGGAATGCGTTCTCCACTCTCTGACTCTCTTGGTGGAAGATAATCTCCCTTTTGACATTCTTTTAGGCATGGATTGGGGTAAAGCTGCAGATGCGGACATAAAGTGAAGGGACCATGAGTGTTGGCTTCCGAGTCCGCAAGAGGGGAAAAAGAAAATTCGTTTGTTTCATGAATCAGGGAAAGAAAGCAGCTTGGCTCATTGTTGTATGAGTGCCCCCGCCTTCGCCCGCCATGTAAGAAAGTATAATCTATATGATCAAGTGTTTGTTGCATATGTGCGCCCAGTTAAAGAGGGTGAAATTACGGAAGAGGTTAAACCCCTAAAAGTTGAAAGGATTCTGAAAGAATTCGCAGATGTAGCGGAGACCCCATGCGGTGTAGTTAAGAGACCTATTAAACATTGCATTGAGATCATCCCAGGAAGTCAGATTCCTAAAGGGCCTATCTATAGAATGTCGCCGAAAGAATTGGATGAACTGCGGAGTCAGCTTGATGAATTGCTGGAAAAAGGGTGGATAAGGCCTAGCTCCTCGCCCTATGGTGCGTCGGTGCTTTTTGTGTCAAAGAAAGATGGCGGGGTACGCATGTGCATAGATTATAGAAGACTTGATGAAATCACAGTAAAGAATGCTGAGCCATTACCAAGGATTGATGATCTTTTGGATAGAGTTCAGAGTTGCAAGTACTTCACCAAGATTGATCTGAAGTCTGGCTACCATCAAATTGAGGTAGAGCCAGAAGACCAATATAATACAGTTTTCCGAACAAGGTATGGGCACTATGAGTTCATTGTGTTGCCCTTTGGTCTTACGAATGCACCTGCAACCTTCCAAAGAACTATGAATGAGCTTTTTCGCGAATGGCTTGATAAATTTGCCGTTGTCTATCTTGACGATATTTTGATTTTTAGTAAGAATTTGAACGAACATTGCGAGCACCTTCGACTTGTGCTAAATAAATTGCGTGAGGCAAAATTGAAGTCAAACCCAAAGAAGTGTGATTGGGCTAAGCGTCAAGTTTTATATTTAGGGCATGTGTTTGACGGTGATGAAATCAAACCGGAAGATACGAAATTTGCAGCAATACGTGATTGGCCTAACCCCCGCACTTTGACTGAGTTGCGGTCGTTCCTTGGGCTAGCCAACTACTATCGGAAGTTCGTTAAACACTTCACGATAATTGTTGCGGCCCTTCGCAGATTGCTTAAGAAAGAAACGATTTGGAAGTAGGATTCAGACTGTACGACTTCGTTTAAACGCCTAAAGAAATGTTTGATTAATTATCTGGTTTTGAAGGTTGATGATCCTTCTTTGCCCTTTGTCGTCACAACCGATGCCAGTCAATACGGGATAGGCGTTGTACTCTAACAAGATGATGGAAATGGATACAGTCCTGTTGAGTTTATGTCCCGACGACTGCCTAATGAGAAGATCGCCGCTTCTACGTATGAAAGAGAGTTGTTTGCTCTCCGGGAAGCTCTAGATCATTGCCGACACTATCTCTTAGGACGCCATTTCAAAGTGTACTCGGATAACGAGACACTTCGCTAGCTTAAAACCCAGGGCTCGAATGACACATAAGTTGACTAGGTGGGCCGTCGAGATTGATCAATATGATTTCGAGCTAAAGCCAGTTAAGGGTAAGTATAACGTTGTTGCTGATGCGCTAAGTCGAAGATCTGATTTCTTCGGTGCCATTGTAACATATCTAGATGTAGGCACCGATCTGCAGAAGAAAATTAAAAATGCGTATTCCACAGATCCTGTTTATGGCGCGATGATTAAGAGTATACAAGAAGCGCCTCAAGAGTTTCCTAACTATCTATAACACAGGGACTGTTGTTTGAAGGAAGGGATGTGCATGATAGGCTTTCTATTCCAAATGTGGAAGAGATCAAAAGTCTGATTTTGGGGAAATGTCACGACACTGAAGGCTATTTTGGATGGAAAAGGACTTATGCAAATCTTTTGCTTCCTACACTTGGCCTCGCATGAAACCCGATTGCATTGCGTATGTGCAAGGTTGTCAAGTGTGCCAACGAAATAAGAGCACCACTCAACCTCCCCTTGGTTTACTGAAGCCTTTGCAAATCCCAACAGGTCCAGGAGACTCTGTGTCCATTGACTTTATGGACACCAAGGTAAAAAGCAGGAATGGAAAGACGTAAGTCATGGTCATCGTTGATAGGTTCAGTAAGTATGCTGTATTCGTAGCATTGTCAGCGAAAGCAAAGACAAAATTAGTAATCCGGGAATTCTTTAACCATTGGGTGAAGGATTATGAACATCCCTTAACGATTGTAAGTGACAGAGATTCACGGTTCACGAGTGAACAATGGCAACAACTAATGAACGTCTATGGTTCAAAGTAAACTATGTCATCAGGTACACACCTTGAGACAAACGGCCAGACTGAGCAAATGAACAAGATTTTGCAGCAAACGTTGCGTATGTATATACGTCCCGACCAGATTGACCGGGACGAACATTTTCCCAGAGTTGCTAGTGCCTACAACAACTGTGTTCACCTATCTACATGCAAGACTCCAATGGAGTTGCATTTGGGATGGCGACCACGTAGACCTATTGATCGCCTGAATCTGGATCAAGTACATAAGCTTCCACTAGGAACAAGCGAATTTGTGATACAGTATCAGAAAGATATTGAAAAGGTGAAGGAAAATATAGTAAAGACACAACATCAGATGAGAGAACAAGCAAATAAGCACAGAAGACCTTCTCAATTTGTTGTAGGTGATCTGGTATGGATTAAATCTAAAGAGTTTGCCCCTGAAGAGAACTTCTCTCAGAAGTTATCTCCCGCCTACAGAGGACCTTGGCAAGTTCTTGATGTGATTGGAGATGTGGATGGACCTTTTTATGTGATTGAGATTCCTCTACATTTGCATATGTATCAAGTATTCTACGCCTCAAAGCTCTTACCTTGCGTGACAAATGAGTTGTTTCCCAGTCGCAGATCGGCGATACCTCCTAGTATGGATGGGAAATATGATGTGGATAAGATTATTGCTGAAAGCACTCTTCAAACTGGACGTAAAGGCAGACCCCAACGACAGCATAAAGTAAGATTTGCATATCAGGACCCAAGTGAAGATCGCTGGTTCACAAGAGAAGAATTAATATCTGCTTATGAAAGAGCAAGAAGAGGAATAAATATTATAGATAGATGAAGGTTTTTCTCAGAGGACTTCGAAACTAGGCCGGCGAGAGTAAAAGGGCCTTTACCCGATTCAGACCCTGACTGATGAGAGCAGCTTAGTGGGGTCACTCGGCCAGAACCTAACTCGTGAAAAGAAGATCAACAGGCATGTTCTCTGGGTCAAAAGTCACATCGTAACTAAAGCAAACGTCATGTCAAAGGTAACGGTTGTACCCCTGGACGAATAGATGCAGTATTCAATTGTGGGAGACACATCTCTTCATCCAGAGGGTGTGCAAGTCATGTCTGTTCAAGCAGGAGATGTGTTTGTTCGTGCAGTGCATGTGTATGTTCAGGCAGTAGGTGTGTCTGTTCGGACGGAAGTTGTGCCTGTTCAAAAGAAGTCAAGAGATAAAGTCCCAGTCAAGATTCAAGTCAAAGGGAGAGTCTAGATACAAACTGAAAATCTGAAATTAAGGCCTGAAGGCCTCAGCAGCAGTGACCCCTGAGGATAAGGGTCTGGGACACAGTCCACAGAGGCTGGGACTGGGAAAGGACCCAAGACAAACTGAATTCAGACCTCGCAAGGGGAGGCCAGCACTATAAAGAACGAGGCAGCCTCCCCACAAGGCAGATTCCCCATGAGCATTGATGCGTGGAAGTGCTGAGGAACTTGTGCGCTATAGTGCAGGGAGGAGCGCTGGCTGAGAGAGAGCTGGGCCAGAAGGAAGGAGGGCTGGGCGCTGGCTGCAGGGAAGCCATAGCTGCGCCAGCTTGTGTTAATAGTAGTAGAAGGGTTAGTGGTAGGACTTCAGTGAGTAGCATTCAGCGTAGATTCTCGTAGATAGGGAGTATGCATGCAAGGGAACCAGGACAGAGATCTTGAGAGAGGAGAGAGAGAGAGAGAAAAGACAGGTTGTGACGTTGGATATGCTGGATACCTACCTGTTGGCGCCATACTTGTGATCTGGGGCAGACGCTGGCTGAGTCAGGCCCTGTGTGTATGTTTGAAGGAGGGAGAGACTTGTA